TTTATAAACTGTCACACTTATACACTCTCACATTTATAAACTGTCACACTTATACACTCTCACATTTATAAACTGTCACACTTATACACTCTCACATTTATAAACTGTCACACTTATACACTCTCACATTTATAAACTGTCACACTTATACACTCTCACACGTCTACACTCTCACACGTTAACACTATCACACTCATAAACTCTTACATTCTCACAATTTTACACTTATACGCTCTCACAATTATACACTTTCGCACTTATACATTCTTACACACTCTAACACGCACACAATCTCACACTTATTCACGCTCACACTCTCATACACTCTCCCACTTATACAATCTCACACTCGTACACTCTCATACTCTCACACTTATACAATCTACCACTTATGCAATCTCACACTCTCACACTCGTATACTCTCACACTATCACACTTGTACAATCTCCTATTTACACACTCGCACACTGATATACTTTCATACTTGCACACTCTAATACTCTCATACACTCTCACACTTACACGCTCTCACAATTATACACTTTCGCACTTATACATTCTTACACACTTACACACTTGCACTCTCTAACACTCTCATACACTCTCACACTTACACGCTCTCACAATTATACACTTTCGCACTTATACTTTCTTACACACTTACACACTCTAACACTCTCACACTTACACACTCTCACGCTCACACACTTACACATTCTAAAGCTCACACACTTACACACTCTAACCTTCGTACTCTCTCACACTTAAACACATCCAACGATAAGAAACAACACCCACACCGCCTCAGTGTGTTTGTTTTTGTCCATTTAATGACGTTTTACTTCTCTTTAGTTTCACCGTCCACGATGTAACACCACCCTCCACTCCCCGACTTTGCGCCCAACGCTCTGCGCCTAAGCAGCCTTGCATTCCTCATTGATAGCGTTCATCAAAGGGTACTTTCCCGCACCACACTGAGATCCATTGAAGTCGTCAAAGTCCAGGGTCCATATCATGACGCCCCCAAATCTTTTGAGTTTGATGAAATTCACCTGCGTCAGATATTCACAATTATGTTGCAGGTAATAAACAACAAACTCAAATGTTTTAATAGACGTCCAAAGGGCTAGTTGTAAATGGTTTTGATAGACTTCTAAAGGGCTAGTTGTAAATGGTTTTGATAGACTTCTAAAGGGCTAGTTGTAAATGGTTTTGATAGACTTCTAAAGGGCTAGTTGTAAATGGTTTTGATAGACTTCTAAAGGGCTAGTTGTAAATGGTTTTGATAGACGTCCAAAGGGCTAGTTGTAAATGGTTTTGATAGACTTCTAAAGGGCTAGTTGTAAATGGTTTTGATAGACTTCTAAAGGGCTAGTTGTAAATGGTTTTGATAGACTTCTAAAGGGCTAGTTGTAAATGGTTTTGATAGACTTCCAAAGGGCTAGTTGTAAATGGTTTTGATAGACTTCTAAAGGGCTAGTTGTAAATGGTTTTGATAGACTTCTAAAGGGCTAGTTGTAAATGGTTTTGATAGACTTCTAAAGGGCTAGTTGTAAATGGTGTTGATAGACTTCTAAAGGGCTAGTTGTAAATGGTTTTGATAGACTTCTAAAGGGCTCGTTGTAAATGGTTTTGATAGACTTCTAAAGGGCTCGTTGTAAATGGTTTTGATAGACTTCTAAAGGGCTCGTTGTAAATGGTTTTGATAGACTTCTAAAGGGCTAGTTTTAAATGGTGTTGATAGACTTCTAAAGGGCTAGTTGTATATGGTGTTGATAGACTTCTAAAGGGCTAATTGTATATGGTGTTGATAGACTTCTAAAGGGCTAGTTGTATATGGTGTTGATAGACTTCTAAAGGGCTAGCTGTAAATGGTTTTGATAGACTTCTAAAGGGCTAGTTGTATATGGTGTTGATAGACTTCTAAAGGGCTAGCTGTAAATGGTTTTGATAGACTTCTAAAGGGCTAGTTGTAAATGGTTTTGATAGACTTCTAAAGGGCTAGTTGTATATGGTGTTGATAGACTTCTAAAGGGCTAGCTGTAAATGGTTTTGATAGACTTCTAAAGGGCTAGTTGTAAATGGTTTTGATAGACTTCTAAAGGGCTAGTTGTATATGGTGTTGATAGACTTCTAAAGGGCTAGCTGTAAATGGTTTTGATAGACTTCTAAAGGGCTAGTTGTAAATGGTTTTGATAGACTTCTAAAGGGATAGTTGTAAATGGTTTTGATAGACTTCTAAAGGGCTAGTTGTAAATGGTTTTGATAGACTTCTAAAGGGCTCGTTGTAAATGGTTTTGATAGGCTTCTAAAGCGCTAGTTGTAAATGGTGTTGCTAGACTTCTAAAGGGCTCGTTGTAAATGGTTTTGATAGACTTCTAAAGGGCTCGTTGTAAATGGTTTTGATAGACTTCTAAAGGGCTAGTTGTAAATTGTGTTGATAGACTTCTAAAGGGCTAGCTGTAAATGGTTTTGATAGACTTCTAAAGGGCTAGCTTTAAATGGTTTTGATAGACTTCTAAAGGGCTAGCTGTAAATGGTTTTGATATACTTCTAAAGGGCTAGCTGTAAATGGCTTTGATAGACTTCTACAGGGCTAGCTGTAAATGGTTTTGATAGACTTCTAAAGGGCTAGTGGAAATGATTTTGATAGACTTCTAAAAGGCTAGTTGAAATGGTTTTGATAGACTTTTAAAGGCCTAGTTGCAAAGGGACTAAAACCTACAGTCCTTAAATCCGTCCCGAATTCTAAAAATTCCATTATTTAAAACCACGCTTTTTAATACCTCTAACTAAATTATTCTGTTGATAGGGATACGACTAAATAGGAACACCCCCCCCCCCACCCCTCCCAACTCTTCTATGTGTGATTGGGTGAGGCCACACTTGCTAATCGGTTCGTTCCAGGGGTGGACTGGGCCGCCGGGACACCGGGAAGATTCCCGATGGGCCACCTGGACCGGTGACCGATGGGCCACCAGGACCGGTGATATAATAATAATTAATAACTAATATGCGGTGATATTAGAGGCCACTACCAAAATGGCGGTCCATAATGTCCAAACCAACAGCAGCCGTGCTGTTACGTGTAAATAAAGAGCTCCGTACAGCCAGCTGAGTTTGCTTTGATAAAAATGTTATTAAATTTGTTAGTTAATAATAATTAATATTAATTAAATAAAATATTTTACGGTTATTAGTGATAAAATTCAAAACGTAAATATAAAGGTGGTTGAGGGGATAAGAAACTAAAAATTCTTGGTAAAGATGGAGCTAAACGCATCATCTCATTGATTAGTTTAAACATTGGTGGTCAACGCTAACTATTGTGTAGTTTATATTTCCATTGTATCCCCCATTCCAATGTATGTAGGGCTAATTTAATTATTCTTCTCTCTTCTTCACGTATTCATCCCCATTAGGATGTATGCAGAGGTCCGTTATACTACACGCCTTTCTATTGCCCAATGGTTTCCATGACAGAAGATGATCACTATAATTTGATTTTGGTTTCTCTCATCGGATGGCCAAACCATACCCATGATCTACTGCAGGCCTGCACAACATACCCATGATCTACTGCAGGCCTGCACAACATACCCATGATCTACTGCAGGCCTGCACTACATACCCATGATCTACTGCAGGCCTGCACAACATACCCATGATCTACAGCAGGCCTGCACAACATACCCATGATCTACTGCAGGCCTGCACAACATACCCATGATCTACAGCAGGCCTGCACAACATAACCATGATCTACAGCAGGCCTGCACAACATACCCATGATCTACAGCAGGCCTGCACAACATACCCATGATCTACTGAAGGCCTGCACAACATACCCATGATCTACAGCAGGCCTGCATAACATACCCATGATCTACAGCAGGCCTGCACAACATACCCATGATCTACTGCAGGCCTGCACAACATACCCATGATCTACAGCAGACCTGCACAACATACCCATGATCTACTGCAGGCCTGCACAACATACCCATGATCTACTGCAGGCCTGCACAACATACCCATGATCTACTGCAGGCCTGCACAACATACCCATGATCTACTGCAGGCCTGCACAACATACCCATGATCTACAGCAGGCCTGCACAACATACCCATGATCTACAGAAGGCCTGCACAACATACCCCTGATCTACAGCAGGCCTGCACAACATACGGCACGCTGGCCAAATGCGGCCCGCCAGCATTCACTTTGCGGCCCACGAAGTAACGAACTATTCTTTATTCTTAGTATTTCTCAATAGCTTTACCCCCTGTCCTATATTCTTTTGGGCCGCACAAGTCCTGTCATATTTTCTTTTGGCCCGCGCAAGCTTTTCATAAAGCTTTACGGCCCGCCTTGCATTTTGAGTTGTGCGGGCCTGATCTACACGATCCCCTCTAGGGCCTGATCTACACGATCCCCTCTAGGGCCTGATCTACACGATCCCCTCTAGGGCCTGATCTACACGATCCCCTCTAGGGCCTGATCTACACGATCCCCTCTAGGGCCTGATCTACACGATCCACTCTAGGGCCTGATCTACACGATCCCCTCTAGGGCCTGATCTACACGATCCCCTCTAGGGCCTGATCTACACGATCCCCTCTAGGGCCTGATCCACACGATCCCCTCTAGGGCCTGATCCACACGATCCCCTCTAGGGCCTGATCCACACGATCCCCTCTAGGGCCTGATCCACACGATCCCCTCTAGGGCCTGATCTACACGATCCCCTCTATTTACTCCATGTCATCTGATTTGGGGATCTTTTATGTATTTATCGTGTGTGTGCATAGGATGAGTAAGAACCTGCGCCAACATCTAGCTTTTCTATAATGCCTATATTTGTCTTGGGTTTTAGTTAATGGTAATCAAAAGATCATGGCCACCTTTTCCTTGAGGCTCTGAGCGTCGTCGTAGCCCACCCACATTCGGTCCTTGTAGTAGTAAGGGATTGACTGTTTGGGATCTCGTACGACCATACCCCCATTTTGCAGCATTTTACAAATCTGAGGAGGGGAAATATACGACATCAGAACATTAACGACCGTTCATCCTGTAAGAATGCCAGTGGTAGAAACATAATACGAGTCTTTGTAGGAAAAAAAAAACTTTAAATCATAACGATTACACATTACACGATTAAATATTACATGATTACATAATACATGATATTACATCTTACATGAAAACAACTTTACAAGAATACACAAAGAATGTGTTTAGACAACGCAGCTTCATGTTGGCATCTAAACAGCAATATTTTTTTGTTATCAACAATAAAATAGATTCTACGTTAATATTAATTCTAAAATTATGTGCATATTTAACTGTATTATTATATTATAAACTAGTGCTAAACTAACATAAATTCTACTTTGATATCAATTCTAAATTCATGTGTATTTTATGTTTATTAACACAGAAACCATTACTAAACCAACGCAGATTATGCAGACCCATGGACCACCTTACAAATATATCAAGCACACTAAAATTAAACCCCCGCCCTTTTCTCAGAAGCCCACCCTCCCACCCCCCCCCCCCGTCCCAGAGGGCATCAAAGCCAAACCCCTCATCACAAGGCCCCCCCCCCCCCTATTAGGGTTACCTCAAAGTAGGACAAGATTCCCGCTTCTCTGGTGTATTTACCAGCGGGGCCGGCAGACTCCACCTCTGTTCCAATGGCGTGGCTCGTTGGGCTCTTAAGATTCACGTGTCTTCCATAGGTGGCAACACCGACGGTCAGCTTGCTGGGTGGGACTCCCAGGGAATCCAAATAACCCGCAGCGAAAGCCTGGAACCAAAATAAGAAATGGAAGAAGAAGAAGAAGACGAAGTTAAAGGAAAGATAAAAAAATGTACACACAAAAACAACGCTACGAACATTTTGAATGAAATGATCAGGTGTACATTTAAAGCGACAATTCTCGTCACACAATGATGTCATACATTTGAGACACATTACAATTCACGAGGAATGACACGCCAAACAATGATGGCGGCCATGTGTCAACTCATCAGATAAAATGTTTAACAAAATTGCATTCAAGAAACACACTTTATAAGAATCCAAATTAGTACTAGACCCGCATTTCCCCCGCCCCCCTTTTTTTTCGAGTAGGCTGCAGCACACTTATGTCACAACCCCCCCCCCTCGAGCTGTATTATTACTCTAATGTCCCAACCCCTTTTACACCATATATATATATATATATATATATATATATATATATATATATATATTATATATATATATATATATAAATTCAAACACACATATATAAATATATATATATATCGAAATGGCTATTCGTACCCGGGTACCAGAAAGGAGAGGTTGTGATTAAACAATTGTTTAAAATTTTATTGTTGGGTTTGTAAACCAAAATGAGATAGCAAATCAAAGATAATTGAACAGACTATATGTTTGTAAACTTAATTCTTCATTTCAACTGCAATAAACTAGCAAAAAAAAAAAAAAAATATATATATATATAAATGAGGTAAGGCATCCATATAATCTATTTTAAACAAAAAACCAATCGATTAAAATACATTCGGTATCTTTAAAAAAGGATAGTGATTTTCTGTATTTTTTGGAAATCGAATCAAATTAAATAAAATTAACAATACTATATATTATAGAGTTGGTACATTTTTATGTGGCAGCCAAGTCTTTGAATCCAATGATGCACAATCGGTTGAAATAGGTGTTAAATTTTCTTTTCTTTTATAAAATGTTTTAGATGTTTCACCAATTAAGAATCTGTGTTTTAAGGGCGTTGACAAACCATACGTATAGATAAGTGTCACCCATTCGTCAACAGACACGCAAACAATTTCTCAGAACCCAATATTTTTTTTTTACATGTGAAAATTTAATCTTAAAAATATAGCCATATTTTTTTCTCTTCACAGCTCATGGACTTGATTTAGGATGGGTTTGGATTTTCTTTCAAAAAGGAAAACATATTTTTTATTTCCATTTTGCGAAAAGTAAATTTCATTAAAAAAATAGGTATACATTTATATAAGTTTAAGAATATTTTTAAAACAACAACAACAACCCTTCAGGTTGTTAGAGGCGTAAAAATCAGTTATAATATTTTCCTTTATTTAAAAGAATTCGGTGTTTTCCGATTTTCCGATCATATTATAGAGAAGCGAGGGGATTTTGGTTGAGGTTTTAATGAAGATACCAATACATGTCTATCAAATTCAGTTAATAGAAAAGATATTTAAAATGGTAAATAGAATTGTTTTTTGTTTCTTTGTTAATTAAAGTACATGTTTAACAATTTTCAAAGCGACAAAAAATATTTCAGGTTCACGAAAAGTAGAGGGGTAAGTGAATATTATACAGCAGATACATACTTCTAAAAACTAAATGATATTAGAAATGTAATCATCACTATATAGATACATGTTTTTAAAATAAGGAATTCCGGCCAACCATTTCCTAAGAATTCATTTCAAGGACGTGTAATATTATGTTATTGTTGTTTTTTAAATGAGTTTACAAAACTTCAAAACCTGTTACACTTATATACATTAACATTTTATTGTTAGTTGTTTAGACTACGCAATAGCATGGTGGAAAGTATTGCACAATGCCTCCCATTATTATCCCGATAACATCGGGTCATATATTCTAGTTATATCCTATTTAAATTAAGACACTTTCTTAAAACAAAAAAAATCATTTTCATCTGAAACTGACTATTTAAGAATATAATTTAGAACAGTTATCGGGGAATTTTATTTTGCGCGCGATTGAACTCAACATTATACCACACATTCTTTCCAACCTATACAATTATATTGATTGATTTTTTAAGAAGCACTTATCTGGATGATGATAAATCAGAGACACCTATATCGCCTTCCATAGCATGAGCCAACTACTGCTCATGATAAATACAAGATACTTTATTTTTACTGATAGGTCATCCCCTCCTCCCCATCACCAAAACGAAAAAAACAAACAAAAGCGAACAAACCGAAGAAAACAGAGTTCTCCGCCAACGGTTTCCGAGTAGGTTATCTTTGTGTTATTTTCTTGTCCTCGCCCAGTTATCTTTGTGTTATTTTCTTGCCCTCGCCCAGTTATCTTTGTGTTATTTTCTTGTCCTCACCCAGTTATCATTGTGTTATTTTCTTGTCCTCGCCCAGTTATCTTTGTGTTATTTTCTTGTCCTCGCCCAGTTATCTTTGTGTTATTTTCTTGTCCTCGCCCAGTTATCATTGTGTTATTTTCTTGACCTCGCCCAGTTATCATTGTGTTATTTTCTTGTCCTCGCCCAGTTATCTTTGTGTTATTTTCTTGTCCTCGCCCAGTTATCATTGTGTTATTTGCTTGTCCTCACCCAGTTATCATTGTGTTATTCACTTGTCCTCACCCAGTTATTGTGTTATTTTCTTGTCCTCGCCCAGTTATCATTGTGTTATTTTCTTGTCCTCACCCAGTTATTGTGTTATTTTCTTGTCCTCGCCCAGTTATCATTGTGTTATTTTCTTGTCTTCACCCAGTTATCATTGTGTTATTTTCTTGTCTTAGCCCAGTTATCATTGTGTTATTTTCTTGTCTTCGCCCGTTATCATTGTGTTATTTTCTTGTCTTAGCCCAGTTATCATTGTGTTATTTTCTTGTCTTCGCTCGTTATCATTGTATTATTTTCTTGTCTTCGCCCGTTATCATAGTGTTATTTTCTCGCCCTCGCCCAGTTATCATTGCGTTATTGTCTCGTCCTCGCCAAGTTATCATTGTGTTATTTTCTTGTCCTCGCCCAGTTACCATTGTGTTATTTTCTTTTCCTCGCCACGAAACACTAGAAAAATTGTTAGTTATTTACTTTGTTTAAAGAAAACTGATAATTCATTGAGAACATTAAATGAAAGGCTGACTTACCAAATTAAAGTTGTCGTCCGAATAGAGCGGGCTGTTGTGACCGACCTCTTTGTCCCAAGCGCCATGGAAGTCGTAGGACATGAGGTTGATGAAATCCAGGTCTCTGATTGGTGGACGGTAATGTAAACAAAAATTAGGTAAAAAAAAAAAAAAAGCCATCATAATAATAAATTTAAAAAAAAAAGAAAAACCCGCCATATATGTTATGATCAATTCAGAAATGTATTTTCCTGACAAACACTTTTTAAAATATTTTTACTACATGGCTGTTGGGTGCTTAGAATAACTTGTGCCATGACCTTGCTTTAACTGAGGAAAAGGTTTCCTTGGCTTACCTCACCAGTCCATGGCTTACTTCACCAGTCCATGGCTTACCTCACCAGTCCATGGCTTACCTCACCAGTCCATGGCTTACCT